TCACCAGCGCCTCGTACGGCGCCTCCTTGCACAGCTCCAGGAGGGCCTCCACTGCCGCCATGTCCGTACACAAGGTCTGGATGTTGCGACCCACCTGGATGGGTGAGGGGTGGGGGTGAGGGGCGGGGAAGGGGGGTAAAACCCACGGGTGATATAAATACATCCTGCGATCCTGCAACTCCACAAACCCTCAATCGCCTCCAAACACAAACCCTACAATCCCAGCTACGAAGCCATTGCAAACTGCCCACCCCCCATTAGTACTCCTAATTCCCCCATCCACCTACCTGCAACTCCGCACGCAACCCCGGCCCTAACCAGCAGCTACAATACCCCAACCCATCCAGAATCACTAAGCCGCCAGCCTCCTCTCCTCCAACCAACAACCAACTGCTCCGTACAGCAGCCCCGTACGCCGTACACCCCTCTCGCGCGCGCCGTACCATTTCCTCCCCCAGCAGCCCGGTCAGACTTGAGAACTGCGGGTCAGTGCACAGGATGACGCCGTTGGGCGCCACCCAGGCCCGCATGTTGCGGCTGTCCAGAGGCTGGGGACGCAGGAGGCCCAGGAAGATGGCGTCGCTGCGTGTGTGTATGTGTGGGGTGAGATTGAGTTTGAGTTGTGAGGTGAGGTGAAAACAGCAATGCCGGTTGCGTTTCTCATCCCTTACCAACCCGCTTCCGTAATACCTTAGAAAGTTTCTCCCTTTACTCGCACCTGCATTAGCCCCCCCCCTCGGGTCTCCCCCAACTTTACTCCCTCCCCCATGACGATTTCCATGATCCTCTGTTCTCAACTCCCTGCCGCAGATCCCCCTCCGCACCCCCTATCTCCTCCGTCCCCGCCTAGATAAAAGCCCTCCCTCCCTCCCCGCTCCCGGCCCCACCCTCCTAAGCAGCATCACTCACGTGCCCACCCCGGAAAGCTTGGTCACACAGATCTGAAGGGGAAACACGTGGCGCTCCTAACAGGCCGGGGGGGAGGGGGGCGGGGAAAGGGGGGTTGTGGGTGCTTGGGCGGGAAAAGGAAACAATTGCAGAGTGTACGGTCACTTCCTCCCTCCCCCTCCCCACGCTTCCAATCGCCTTCCTCCCTCTTCCCTACCCCATTCTCACTTTGCGCGTTTTAGGATCCTTTCCGCCATGCTTGTCTATTTACCCGTTTGCTTGGGCCCCCCACTTCACATCGATTTCCGCCCCCTCCGTCCCCCCCCCTCGCTCCATCGCCTCCCTTTACCCTTCCCCCCCACCCCCGCACAACCCCCCGCACAACTCCCCGCACCTTGTGTAGCGCCACCACGTCTCTGACCGTGTCCAGGATGTGAGGCTCACCGCCCTGTGAGAGAGAGAGATGTGTGTGCGGGGGTTGTTGTGAGTGTGTGTGTGTGTGTGTGTGTGTGTGTGTGTGTGTGTTTGTGTGTGTTTGTGTGTTTCGGAGGTTAAAATGGGGGGAAAGGAAAACCGGAGGGAGGGGCATTTGGGTG